CTGGTTGCACAGAGTTTGTTTACGATAAATCAGCTCCGATCACAAATGTCAGCTAATATTGGTGCTTCCATATGGGGTGCTGTTTGTAAAAAAATGATGTAGCTTAAGGTTACCGTAAACCTTCGCGGGNGGTTATGATTCTTTCTCTGTACGAACTTAGCGTCTCTTAACGAAATAGCGTCCCCTCTGCGAGATTCGAACCGCAGATAACTTCGTGTTCGTGCAAAACAATTAGTGTGCAGTGGGTGGAGATCGTCTACGAAATGGCGACGTTCTTTTCATTTTTCCAAAGTTTTGGAGGAAAATTTTGATGCAAATGAATAATTAAATTCCTGAGAAGACTAAACGAAGAACATTTACGGTTTATTGACTTTAAAAAAGGTTGAAATTATTGAAAAAAAAAAAGTGCGCGCGCGTACACAACTTCAATTTTAAATGACAATTCAATCCGAGCGATCTTTTTGAGGCGCAAAGTTTAAGGATACGTCGAGAAATAATTGGAAACCGTTGTTTGAAGTAAATTTTGGTAAGAATTCTACTAAAACAATTAGATTATTCGTTCACGATTTCTATGAGGTGATAGTTGGCCTGGCGTTCGGCCTCATCAACTACCTCATAGAAATCTCGAGCTCATAATCTAATTGTTAATTATGAAAATGTCAGTTAAAGGGAGCCGGGTTTCACGGTTACGTTCAACGCATGTCTCTAAATCAAAAAACGTTTGTTCGCTTCTTATCAACGTTATCGCTTTAAAAACCCCACTCAGATGTAGATCAGCAATCACATGCTATATAGCCTGCGTAGCAGACGTTTCCTTTCCTTTCCAGGCGGAGAGATCGAACAAGCGAGCAAGCAAGCGAGCGAGCGAAGGAGCACGCCTCGGGGGAGAAAAAAAAAATAAAGAGAGAGAAGCGGTCAAGCGAGGAAGGGGTGACTTCGCATGCTACATGCTATAGTTAGTCGAGTCAGAACGACGGTGACCAAAATTCTCGGAAGATTTTGGTGGATTTTACCGACGCTGTCGACAGTTGAATTTAGTGTTGATTCGTAGGATTTATTCTTCGGTCGATGATTTTACGGCTATTTGCATGCGAAATTAGGTAACTTGCTCATTTAACAGGCTCTCATGCTGTGCGGTAGGAGCAAAGTGAATAAGCAAAGTCGCGAGAAGTGAGTCAGCGAGTGAAGCACGGCTTTGCTCGTGCCATCAACGATGAGAGTCTGTTCGCAGCTTAGAATTGGTTCCTCTTAGGGGGTGACAAGGTTTCACGTTGCGCCCACAAAACAGAATCTTGGTACCTCTTGAGGGTTCTCTTCATAATTTTCGGCGAGCATCCCCGTCCTTTTGTCTTGCAGTCCGCCCTCAGGCACCCAATCGATATTCTCACTACATTCAAAAGATCTATTTCAGTCCTATACTCACCAGAAAGTAACACTGCGTTGAGGATAGAATGCGTACACACTGAAGGCAGAAGGCAGCCTTTTCTTCTGGCTTTAAGGGAAGGTTCAGGGAGGGTTTCACGGTTCGGCGCATGTCTGTATCATTTATTCGTCTGTGCATGCTTTTTGGCACAGGCCCAGTTTTTCATTGTTTATGAACCAATCGTAAGCAAGTTACCTAATTTCGTATGCAAACGGCCGAAGAATCACCAACCGTGGAATAAACTGTACGGGTCGAAACTTAATTCAAAGTTCGACAGAGTCGGTGAAATCTGCTTAAATTTTCTGAGAATTTCGGTCATCCGTCATTCTGCTAACTACATCTGAGTCGGGTTTTAAAGCGATAACATTCATTTGATAAGAAGTGAACAAAAGTGTCTTGATTTAGACACATGCGCCGAACCATGAAACCCTCCCTTTAATATTGCAGAGCGGCAAAGTGTTAAACAATTATTGGATGAGGATGAGGCCACACTGAACACGCAAGCGGATTTCATTCGCGCGAAACTTTTTACATGAATATTTTCATGTAACGTTTGCTAATTTCATCTTCTCACCTCCTAAGTACTATACATATGCCTTGCCGTTATTTTTAATTTATCCATTCGACAATGATGGCATGAAGTCGTCGAAACGTCATGTAACTTTACCTACGTTACTTTTCCTGCTTAATGGTTTTGTGATATCCAGAATAATCAGAGTCGAGGTAGGGATAAGGTAGGGTTAATCAGCCGAAGCCGAAGGCGGTGATACATGACATGATTACCAGTGACCTAGATGACGTCACAGGCACTCACTGTGCGCTGTCGGCCAATAAGAAAAGAGAAAGTGAGTTCAATATATAATAATAAGGGCTAGGTGGAAAACGCGGAGCCGGGGTCCCGGGGTGTGGAAAGCGCGGGGTGTGGAAAACGCAGGGTGTGGAAAACGCGGGGTGTGGAAAACACGGGTGTGGAAAACGCGGGGTGTGGAAAGCACGGGGTCTGGTGGAAAACACGGGGTGTGGAAAACATGGGGTCTGGTGGAAAACACGGGGTTTGGTGGAAACCCCGGGGTCTGAGTGGAAAACACGGGGGAGACGTATTTTCGCCTAAAATGAGAAGTCGAAATTTTGTTGTTTTAAAATTGCAATGAAAATCACGGCGTGAAACGCGTTTCTCAAACATTTCGTGGGAAAGAAAACCATTCAAGAGCCAACGTGCCATGCAGTGGTTTTCTTTTGCATGGGGCGTCTATTTTATTTTTCGCAGTAACCTGCGTGGATTTTCGTTTTATCTTTAAATAAGAATATTGAAATAATAAAGATTGTTTTGCTTAGTATCTTTAACCATGAAAAGCGACAGTTGCCGTTTTGCTCGTTTAAAAGCCGGTTACCTGTAAGTAGGGCGTCAAGAAATGGCAACAAAAATTACCATAGAATATAAAGAATAAACAAATAAAATACGCCTGGCCCAGCCGGGCCAAATTTGAAACAAAAGCTAAAGAGGTTTTAAGGGTTATTAATCGAGAAAATACAGTAACCTTCTTGAAATGCCAGTTCCAAAATAAATTCTGGCGTTCCTTTAAATGAAACAGAAGTCGGCCCCTTTCTGTAGTTGCTTGCGTTAATTTCAGCGCGCATAATCTCCACTCTTACGAATATGGATTTCGTTTTCGCCGTCTCCTTACACACGAGTTTACAAAAAAAAAAGTTGTTCTAGTGAAATCAAAATGTTATTCCCTTTACATTAACTATCGACTGGGACCTCACTAACGATTCATAAATGATCGGACTCCAGGTTTATAATTACTTCTGTCGTATTGTAAATTGGGGACCGGTCATTATTTATCGCCTGGAGCGGGGGTGGGGCGAGGGGGAGATTTTTGGGGGATCATTGGATTTTTAGGATGCCAGAAGGGGGGATCAGTCATAACTGAGAGCCCAAAAGGGATGATCACTAAATGTCACATGCCCATACAGACTTGGTGGACGGCTTTTTGGCACTCTAAAAAGTAACTTTGCAGTTTCCAAACACTGGGATGGTTAGTTGCTGTTATGTCAACTGACATCAGACCACATCAGTCACGGGGCTCTCAGTAGAACGGCGGAATTTTACCGGCTGTAAAATCGAATGTAGCCACCTGTTCTGGTCATTGAAATTTGAAAACATATAACAATAAATTAAGACTTACAGACTGAGACGTTTCAAGAACAAAAAAGTATTTTAGTTAAAAAGGTGAAACAGCGCTACTTGCTACATCTAATTTTATGATCATAAACAGCTCATTTTCCGTAACACCTTGCCCCCAAAATGCATGAAATCGCATCTTTGGCCACCTAAAAGTTCAAAATCTTCTAGGGCAGCATACCCCGGACCCCGTACGCTGGCTTGTCCCTTCGGGCGAATCGGACCTCACTTTAATTTATGTCGCCTGTGAAAACTTCTGTTAGAACCCTGATCAGATATCGGGAAGACACGGATCAAGAGACTGCACCATGGCGGCTTCATTAATCTGTAAGTCAGCATCATGATTAGAAATATTACTGTCATATGACCGTTGAAAGCACTAGATATACATGTCGAAAGGTGAATATGCGTGCGAAGACATTGAGGGGGATCATGAAATTTATTAATAGCTATGAGGGGAATAATTCAATAAAATAACATTTAAATGGGGGATCAGCTAAATGTTACTGTCTTTAGCCGAAAATCCCCCGCCATCCCCAAGGCGATAAATAATGACCGGTCGAAAGTGATTATTTGTATCAGGAGCCATAGAAAGGCTTTTTCATGGTTTAAGATAGTAAGCAAAACAATCTTTATTATTTCATTATTTCTTTTTCAAAAGTATAAAAAAACCCCGCAAGTTACTGAGAAAAATAACATAGACGTCCCCTGCAAAAGAAAACCGCTACAAGGCACGTTGGCTCTTGCATGGGTTTCTTGGTCACGAAATGTTTAATTTGCTTTGATCGAAAAACGCGTTACACGCCGAGAAGCGGAATTGATTTTCATTGCAATTTTAAAATAACAAAATTTCGACTTCTCAATTTAGTGAGGAAAATTCATATTTCCTCGAAAAAACGTTTTCCCCGTGTTTTCCTCTTAGACCCCGTGTTTTCCACGTAGACCCCGCATTTTCCACCAGACCCCGCGTTTTCCACCAGACCCCGCGTTTTCCACTTAGACCCCGCGTTTTCCACCAGACCCCGCGTTTTCCACACCCATGGACCTCGTACCCCGGGACCCCGTACCCCGTACTCCGTACCCCGGGACCCCGGCCCCGCGTTTTCCACCTAGCCAATAATAAGCAGTTAATGACTGGTCCCAAGGGAAACAGTGAGTTTTTGTTTCCCCGTAGACTACGAGTAGTCCGTCTTTCGCTCAGTCCGTCGTGCGTCGACGCGAAAGAAAACCGAGAGAGAAAAAAATGGAGCCAATTAAATGAGCTAGTGAGTTTTGTTCGCCCTAGGGAGTTAGTGAGTTTTGACCCACGACACGTGATACATTTTCCTCCAATCGGAAAACGTATTTGAGTTGGGATGTATAACAAACTGAGTTATGCGCACTACAACAGTGGTTAGGAACGCCTGGAATATTTTGCAAATGGTGGTGCAGAGTTCTTGAATGGGTTTGTCTTTTGGTTCTTGTAAAGAACTATGGTGGATAAGCCGAAAATAATCGAACACGTTGTAAAATCCTTAGATTACACGCTGTTCGATGCAAGATGGATTCCTTGTAGTGCAAGATTTGTGGTACTCGGAAACTATGCGCGTGGAACAGGCGCGTTTCAAATCTACGAAGTTTCAAAAGGGGACGTCAAACTGCTAAAGAGTGTGAGTGTATGCTTTAATACTAAATAACCTGTCTGTCAGAGGCCTTGGTATTCTTTATTTATCGTTAGCGATACTTGTTTTTCTACTTTTATTTTAATATTTCGACTTAAATTAACTGCTGATTTATTGAGCACTAAAATTACTAGACATGAACGATTCTCGCAGTTATGTACACAATTTGAGCAGCTTGAAATTAAAGCAAAAAAAAAAAAGCTAAAAAAATGAAAATACAAGTAAGAATAACGAGAGGAATATTCTATCATCGTAAAATTGCTGCCGCTATATCTTTCAGAGACACCTTTCCAATGATACTGGGGGAGCAAAACTCTATAATCTTAATGTCGTGAAGCAATAATTCTGTGACAAGCATACACCTGGTTTGTTTAACAAGCATCGCAAGTAATCGGAACTCAAATCAATAAATTGAAAAGTAAATTCTTGCTCATGTGGATTATTTCTTGATCTGTGTTCCTACGGCCTGGTTCATACGTCGCATTTCTGCTGTGTCGAATTCAATTCAGTGAATTAAATTCGACAGAAATTCGACATCTGAATCGGCTGCCGCGTTTCTGCCGCACGTTTGACTGGTCTTGTCGCATTATCCGACAGAAATGCGACACCGATTCAGACATCAAATTTTTGCTGTGTTGAATCTAATGCATGCATTATGTTAATGTATTGAGCATGGGTAAATGTTTTCTCGCCAAAGAAAAAGAAGAAACTTGGCCATTCTTGACCCAATGCAACCTGAACATATTGCAACACACACTGCTACATTGTCAGCCTTCTCCTTCTCGTTCCATTGGCAGTCAATGTTTCGCAAAATTAAAGTCCTTTGTCGCTCAGTATTTTCGTCAGCCATATTGAATACTCTACGTTTGAAACATTTTCCGCTGGCTGACATACCCGACAGTACAAATTCTGAATTAAGTGCGACACAAGTGTGACGTATGAATGGACAGTTGCATTTCTGCCGTGCTTTATTGAATTGAATTCGACACGGCAGAAATGCGACGTATGAACTGGGCCTACAGAGAGTTTTTAGAATTATGGCTTCCAGCATGTACATTCTTCACAGGGTGTTATCTAAAGGCACTCATAGAAACTCCATATTTCTATAACAGGATGAGAAAAGGACAGCATTGAAATGTGGTACTTTTGGAGCTTCAAGTTTACAACAGAGATATCTAGCAACTGGGGACTTTGAGGGAAAAATGATGATTTGGTTTGTAATGTTGTTCTTTAACTTAATTGTTGACTATTTTGCAGTGGTATTAAAGGAGCTCAGTCATGGTTTGTGCATATTGAAAAGTTTAGCCTCAATTTTTCAAATTTGTTATTTGTAATCCGTGTTAATCTACTCCATCCTTAGCCATCCTTGTTCCTTTATGGTTTATCATTATGTCTTTGGTGTTTTTCTAACTTATTAAACTGTTATTTTCAGGTTTCCTACCATTTAAGGGTAATTTTGTATGTGGCCAAAATAACTCAAAATACTGTGACTGGGCTCCTTTAAACTGGCCCACACCAGAGCATATCTCATTTTTCATAGTGCTAAGTGCTAGGTGTTTTGCTAGTCCCCATATGCTGTTCATTGCAGGTTACCTTTCCACCAACAGTTGGCCAAATAAATTTACCGTGCATTTACTGAAACTGGGGCCGCCCAGACAATGAAAACCAATCAGATGGCAGAACTGAAACAATGGATTCCAACATTTTCAAATCCAGCCAATCAAATGTCCGGTACAAAACAATTAAATCTAAACTTGTTCGTTGTGATGCTTACACAACTACAGTGTCTGTTAATAAATTGTCAAGCTCAAGCCATTAGTATTTTCACGTTAGAAAATATTGTATTACTTTACTTTAGATTTCATATCTACATACGTGATAAACTCATTAGATTGACCGTTTTCTGGCTGTGAATGTACGGCCACACAAAATATCTTTTTTACGGTTGTTTAAAATCGTAGAATAATAGATTTTAACATTTTTTACAAAGTAAATTCCGCTCCTGCTGTCTGTGCGTGTTTCTATTTTTACACACCTTTCGGTTGTCCACCACGTAGTTCTTGAAAAAACCATCGCGTTCACTGTCTCAGGAGCTCCACATTTCGGAGTTTGATTGAAATAACATCTTCATGAAAATTCAAATGACTTTTTTTTTCTGTGTTGTACTATTGAAGCCTCAGCCTGTAAAATCACTCAAGCAAAAACAAAAGATGGACGCATAGGAACTTATTCCCCTGGATGGAAAAATTGAAGATATTTTGATCAAAGAATTCATTTTTGTATCAGGTCAACTTTTCAATTCTCCTGCTTGAAGTTTGCTTTCAACTCCTTTCAGCTACATCAAAAATAATCCCTTTCCAATTCGTACATTTCGAGCCTGCATTCATTTGAAACTGCTCAGAGACTATTTGAACGGTTTCTTTTAAACAGCCACGACTATATTCACACAACACACTTTGTTGGCAATTTATATTTACGAGTTACACTCTTAGGCAGCTTTTATTTCCATGTATTTTCCAAACCAACTAACGACCCCATAGAAAGTGTAGCATATACTTCCGCTTGAACCCTCAAGCATGCGAAACTACTAGCGGTTTGAGCTTGGCAATTTATTATGCGACACCGTAATTGCGTAAGCATCAGAATGAACAAGTTGAGATTTCATTGTCTTGTACCGAACATTTGATTGGCTGGAATTGAAAATGGGACATTTGATTGGCTGGATTTGAAAATGTTGGAATCTGTTGTTTCAGTTCTGCCATCTGATTGGTTTTCATTGTCTGGGTGGCCCCGGTTTCAGTAAACGCACTGCAACAAGGTTAATCAGCTGAGCTTATTGAGCTGCATGCATACTTGCTGATCAGACAAGACACATCTACACCACCTGATCTCACACTGTTATCATTGAATCTTAACTGGTTAGTCGGGTAATTAATGAGAAGTGCCACAAGGCGTGACATGGTTGATTTATAAATTTTGTTTATCATTATGTCTGCAGGAACCTTGAAAACACAGAGAGGCCAGTTTATTCTGTAAAAGCTCATTCACAAATAGTGAATGCAATAGATGGTGTCGGGGGCCTGGGTATTGGTGAGGGAGCACCGGAGATAGTCACTGGAAGTAGAGATGGTAAACCATACATAAATCTCTGTTGATAAAATGTATGCAACATTAACATAGGAGTGATGAGAGCAGTCTTGAAAAAGACTGTTGTATTGCTGACTGTTCTTATGTTAACCTGACAAGCAATTCTCTTCAAATTCAAGATTATTCATTTTGCTCTGTAGATAACAAGTGTTTGGCTGGTCAAGTACAATGCTACTCGGCTAGAATAGTCTTTTCTCAGACTAAATGAATGCGACTGACTCCAAACCATTTATTTTGAACTCCCACCCATTTTTTTCCCATAAAATATTATAAAAAGGGTGACCAACAAAGTGGCAAAATTCTAACCTATTCCCATACAATATTAATAGCTATTTGACTCAAATGGGCCCCTCTCAGGACTTCTGAATAACTAGGGGGTGAGACAAACAAGCTTTAGTCCAATGAAATTTTAGTGCAATTTAATAGTAAATAGTGTGTACACGGTCTAACTTTATTAGGGTCTGTGAAAGTTTGGGATCCTCGTCAGAAGGACAAACCTGTGGCTAGCATGACACCAGCTGAAGGAGAAGAGGGACGTGACTGCTGGTGTGTGGCATTTGGTAAGACTACAATGGTTTTTTCTTTCGGTTATCTGTGTTATGTTAGCCTGTGAGCAGGCTGTTTGCGGGGAATGAAAGTATGAATCAAAGGGAAAAAGGAAAGAGAAGCCTGCCCGCATCGCTTAGAATTCTGATTGATGCCCCCAAGTAACCCTGTTGATGCGACATTGAGCAGGCAGGCTCCTCTTCCCCTTTCTCTCTTTTTTTCAGTTCCCACATGAAGAGCATGTTCACCGGCTAGCTTTATGTAGGAAAGTCACCAGGTATTTGATAATTTAAAGAAAAGCTATAGTTAAAGTTAACTATTATTTTATAATTATTACTGCTGATGATGCCCCTTTGGTATAAAATCATTGCACTGTTGAGAATGTTTAAACCAAGCCAATGATTACAGAGCACATGTTTATAATACATGTTACTACCAAATCTTAGTAATACACGTTTCTTCAGGGCTCGATAAAAAGTGCTCTCCGGTTGTACCGGACAAGTACATTTTACTGCCAGGCAAGTAACCTTTCATTCTCACCTGCCTGATGGGTAAGGGCCCAGGCATGTTGCCTGCCAACTAAACAAAGCAAATTAAAGTAAACTTAGCATTGCCCATGGCAAGAAAAATTTGAGAGCTGCTTGTCCAAAGGGCGAGCTAGAATTCAAGTGTTTTTTTTAACCTTGTACTTGCATGTGAGTTTTATATTGGACAGGTTACTATAAACCATGTCAACATCCTAATCGATCATCTGGGTGATTAAATTTTGTTCCACTCATCACAGGTGATGCATATAATACTGAGGAACGTGCTGTTGTAGCAGGCTATGATAATGGAGATATAAAGATGTTTGACCTTAAAAAGATGGCAGTCAGATGGGAAACAAATATTAAGAATGGGGTATGTTAAATCTTGTTTATTTTGTAGTCTTATTTGGGAGAAGGTGATCTAAATTTCACTGTTACTAAGTTTTGAAAAGCTGGCATCTATCAGAAAATTCAAATACTACTGTGTGAGGGAGACTTTATAGGAAGCCTTAATAGTCCCTCTTACTAAAGCAGGCCCACTACATTTTGAAATAACAGAGCATTCAGCCAAGGATGCTTCATGCTTTTAGTAGGAATAGGTTCTTCATGTCTGGGTATTCAGACCCAGTTCAGATGCTGAACTTTTCATGAGCTGATCAGAACCTTATTCCAATATTTTGCTTGACTCAGACTTAACAAAAGTATGCCTGTTGATTCAGACACTGAAATTAATAATAATTATTATTCATTTCACTGATAAGTGGATTCATGCATTTTAAAACAAAAAAAAGCCATCAAAAATTTTAAATGTGCTGTGACTAATAATTTCAGCATCAGGTAAAGTTACCATCTGAATCAAAGTCATTCAGGAGTTGAAATTCTCAGCTGAGGCAGACAGGAAGCTGTTCAAAATTGATATAGCCAGTCTCAATTGATTCAGAAACCAAACTATTCAGACATATATTTAATTGAAGGTATAAGGATTGGCTGAGTTTAAAGTTCAGCATGTCTGATCAGGCATCAGATGAACAACTTAGTATACATTTTTTGCAAAATTGGATGTGTTGTTTTAAAAGTAGGAAATCTTCATTTTGATATTACAAATTTATTACAGTGTAGCAAGAAAGCAGTTTTGATTTCTTCATCAAATTTGTCTTCTGCAGGTCTGTGGTGTTGAATTTGACAGAAAAGATATTGTGATGAACAAACTTGTGGCTACTACATTAGAATCAAAATTTCATGTATACGATCTTAGAACACAGCACCCAGAGAAAGGATTTGCATCCCTTTCTGAAAAGGTGGGTGTAATAAATTTGTTAATACAGTGGAACCCCATTAATATGGACACCAAAGGGCCATGATAAAGTGTCCGCATTATCCGGGTGTCCATATTAAGCAGGCTAATTTAAGAGAAAATATATGAGCTTTTTAGTTGTCGGGACAAAGAAAACTGTCCGTTAGAAGCAGGTGTCTGTATTAAGTGGGTGTCTGTAGAATGGGGTTTCACTGTACATAGAATGTTTTAGTTAAATTTGATTCCAGTGGTTTCATCAACGTTTTCAGCAAGAGGGTAACTGGTTTTCACAGGCAGGCAAAATGTTTTGAACTGAATTTTTGTATAAGAAAAACTCTCCTCTAGATGGCCAAACTGACCGGGCAGGCAAAATTGTTGTCACAGCCGATTGATTTGCCCGCTGCCCTTAATGAAACCCTGAATTAGGCATGCGTTATCCATAACCTTTTCACTTGATTAAGTCATCTTTCTATTAAAAGCACCATAGAGAGAGATCCCGTATTATTATTTGTACACAGTTTCCTTTAAGGTCAGAGTCTACTGACATCTTGATGTTATCATTGTTGTTACAGTGGTCTACAGTGGGTGTAAGGATGTTCTGAGTTCACCCTACATGCATAAAGTTACTTATTGTAAAAATTATTTAAATGACACACAGGCTCACAAGTCAACTATTTGGTGTGCACGACATCTTCCTCAAAACCGTGAAATTTTCATGACTTGTGGTGGCTCAGGGTCTCTAAACCTCTGGAAGTAGTAAGTGTTTTATTGTGTTGTATATTCTGCTGTGCTCTACACTCAGCAAATCGAGACTCTTTTAATTGTTGCCTGAATATCCTCATATCATCTATTTACCCTGAAATTCACAGGGTAAGATTGCTGCTAATATCATTGAGCTACCTTATGTTACAAATTAAAAATAATGAAAGAAAAACTAGAACAGAGCAGACAAATTTATGCAATATTACAGGACAAAATCAATTTGCAAAAGGTGGTGAAATCTGTAACAGTAGGATGTGTGATGTTGATTCAGAAGTGCATTCCAGGAGTTGGAATTCCAGGAATTAAAGCTATAAGTAGACAAAATGTACATATTATTTTAGGTAGTGTGAAAATAATAGTTCTGCTTAACAAATAAGTGCTGCATCGCAGACAAAGCAAATCGTTTAAGTATTTAGGGTGTTGACAAAAGTGTTCAAAGACATGTGAGAACAGAAAGAATCATACTTTGCATGCATCTGTTTGCCAAGTTTGCAGTTCTTTCTCTTTTGATGCAATTTATAGCAGCCAGTCTGTGAAGCTGGTGTTTCAAGGGTTAGCCTTTTGAGACTTGCTGCAGCAGTCAGTTTACCTCTATCAACTTCAAGTTCAAGTTGATAAATAGCTCGTAGTCAATTGTGCTACAGATAAAAATGGATGTAGTCTGCCAGTTGTGAATTAAAAAGGGCTTTCCATTGCATCAAGTTTGTAATGATCTGTTATGGTTGTTATAATTTTATCACCTATGGTAACGCTTTGGTCCTATGACTTTATGATTTAGCTCATATCCTGACCAGCGAGTGAAAAAAGATGCTAATGATTTGGATATGGGTGTGATTGGTTCTGTCTCAATGTTACAAAATGCTAGTCTGTCAACTCAGCCAATCACATCCTTTGACTGGAGTCCAGATAAGGTCAGTAATGCATGTCTGATATTATATGATTCCTCCTTATTGTTTGCCATGCATTTTAGTTTTATATTGGTGTGGTGATCAGGTGGCAAATCAGGCCAGTAATGATGTCTGAAGCCTAAGGTTTTTGGCTGGATCTGATTGATGTCTGATCTTTTACTCTCAAGTGTGAAGTAGTAATATGATATTCTCTTCACTGATGCTACAAATTTATTTCAATGTTAGTTAGGAGAAGTTGGCAGTGCATGAAGCAAATAACCCCAATTGAGCCCTTTTTTGCTGGATCGGACTGATGGCTGATCTGTTTAGTCTCAAATTTGAAATAGTAACATTCTCTTAACTGACGTCAGACATTTCTTTGAAATGTATATTTATGTGAAAAAAATGGCATTGCACAAAGCAAATGATCTAACCTGTTGCAGGCTCTCGGTCAGTGGGGACGATCGAAGAAGTGGGCGGGCGACGAGCAGGGTCTTTCTCTCCGGGATCCCGCTCATTGCTGATTCTGCACGTCGCTGATCGCGCTCGTTGCTGATCTCGCTCGTCGCTGATCCTGCTCGTTGCCCGCCCACTTTTTCGATCGTCCCCACTGACCGAGAGCCTGCAACAGGCTACAAATAACCCCAATAAATGTTTTTTTCTTCACTTTACCTACCCAGTTGATAATATATATGTAAGGAGAGAACAAATGTTAACCAGTCTTTATCGTTTATATTTACAGGAAGGACTTTGTGTATGCACCTCACTCGACCAGACTTTGAGAGTAATCATTGTCACTAAACTCAAGAATGCGTGACATCATCACTGGCTGCTGCATACTTAAACAAGAAGATTTTATTTGAAGTACCTACTGTTTAAGTTATTATGTACATAGATTTTATAGCAGTGAACTTGTAATAAAATTGTTTGCAGTCTTTCAGTGTCTTGTCATTTTGTTGGGGAGGTACGTTGCTTGCAAAATATTTCGGACGTCTAATTTTCCGAGACTTTTTATCCCACTTCGGACAAATTTAGGACACGTGCTGAAACATAACTAACGTAAATTTACGCCTGCAGAACAGAACATGTTCTAGACTGAATGAATGATAGAATGATAGAATGATAGTTTTCCTGCACCCTCGAGATTTTACAGAGACGCCGACGGGAAAATAAGAAAAAGTATATCAAGCCGTTACGTATTTCAAGCAGTAGGGAGTTTACGAAACCACGACGGCAACGTCAACCGTAACGTCACTGCACAAAAGAATTAACGAGTAGTACAATGGCTGTGCACGTGCGTTCTAATTCTTGGTACATTTCTTTGCCGTCCTCCGCAAGACAGCGTGAAATGACCAAATTTTGCGTTGTCTTGAGATCATGAACCGCGACGGCTAAGTTTTTAAATTTATCGCTGAGTTCCGGATTTAGTTTTGCGATAGTTTTGACAGTGATAAACAAATTAATTGACTTTAGAGTACCGCGAGATTCGTAGGTAAAATATAAATTCATTTTTTAATCGACGTTGTCCTCGGCGTCGCCGTCGTGGTTTCGTAAACTCCCTAGTGTCTCCACTAGAGTTCGCTCCATAAAGGAAACTAGCAACTTTGGAGCTATTGAAAAGTTTCATACTGTACTGTAAATATTTAGAACGCTTAAAAAGTTCGAACGGTTATATTTTCGGACACTTGGAATTGAAATTGAAATCGTCTGAAATGTTTTGCAAGTAACATATTACAGACTTCTTGCTGCGCTCAGACTTTGAATGAAAATGACACTGAGCTGAAATGAATAAAGACATATTACTTTGATTGTCGCTGCTTAATTTTATGATAGTGCGGATAAGAGATATCTCATCCAACAATTTCTTCCAACAGATCCTTTGAAAATTTTTATTTGCTCTTTTGCACGTGACATTTGTACTCTACCAAGTGAAGCTGGATATACCAAACAATGAAGATTAAAGATTGAATAATGCCACTATCTGAGTGGTTGTAAAAGCAGTGGTTCAGATTTTCCATCTGTAACTTTTGTACAATGCGCTGACTGTATTGTTATCGGCTTTTTACTGGCTTAAGTGTAAAAGTAATAAAGATGTTACCGCGGCAATCTTGTTAGGACGACATCTAGAAATAGTTTTTTTCTCCGTGGATCGAAGAAAACAACATTGGTTAATATTTCTGTTTGTTACACGACCAAGTCACCGACTAAGGCACCCTCCACACTACGTCGGAGAAATTTGAGAACGGCGTTTTCACTCTGAAAACGCAGCGAATGTTTTCCGTCCACACTACACGGCGGGGCAATTTGAAAATGCAACAGTCATGATTTTGGATTCGTGTTTGAGGAAAACTCGGCAGGGAAATCACGTGATTATCGTGACGTCTTCGTTTCGAAAAGCTCCGTTTTCAAAATGTTTTCCGTCCACACTAAAACTCAAAGCCAGGGTTTTCAAATCCCTCCAGAGTTCAAGAGCGTAGTCGAAAAGCAAATTTCTCCGGCCAAGTGTGGACAAGGCCTAAGTTCAGAGCGCCAAAAACTAAGATTCAATCAATCAGATTGTTTTGTTGTATTGCCAGTCCCCCCTTCCAGGTGTCAGGGGTCCGGGTACTCTCCCAAATGATCTTGGGTTTCAAGGCTTACTTTTCGTAAAAAAAGATTAGCTTAAATTAACGTGGAAAATTATTTTTCTTGTCCTCCAACTTCTTTTGTTCTTTTCTGGGTACGTCAGATGTGATTATTAGAAGACTCAGAACGCTAAGTTGGCTTTCACTTGGCGGTGGTCCACTATTGTAGAATTTTTTTCGATCTTGTCGGTAATATCAAAGATCATCAAAACTTTGTTAACCAAGCTCGCTCGGGACAGTGTGCTTCTTTGTACGTTCTGTCAGGAACTTGGGCCTTGCACTTGGTTTAATTAAGATATATAAGCGCTTTATATTGAATTCTCATCCTCCGATAACGTATTTCTACCCCTCTAATTGGTTCACCAAATTTCGGTTTCCAGCCATTATACCTGTGTTTGTTCTTTTATGAAAAATGAGTACGGCAAGCGTCGCTCATAAAAATATCTTGGTTAAGATTAAATAAAAGTAGTCAAAGGTTCAAATTCCAGATCTCTTACAGCACCAAAGATGTTCTAAGTTCTATTTTCTTCAAGAACTGTCAGAGACTGAAATGACCTACCAGCAGAGATGGCTGCAATGAATGCTACCCGTTTCATCGCTAGTTGAATCGATGTGGGTGCGAACTCGCTTGGGTGCGAAACCTGCAGCCGCCGCTATAATTATGTCACTGTCTAACTGCAAAGACACTCTTTGTAAATTTTTAGACTAGGAGGGTTTAGATTTTATTTCATGCTGGATCCTTCGTAGATTTTTCTTTCCTAATGGTTTAACAATAAAGATGACCATTATGAATAAAACAAACAAACGCCATGGCGCCAGATGACGCAAAGAAACCAGGGTTGCCAATGCGGGGAGGCCACGTAAAGAATGCGAACATGCAGTACTAGAAGTCAGCAGCGACACGCGTGGGAGACTCAAAACAAAACGAAAGCTGTCAACATGGCGGAAGTTTATGCAAGAAGAGTCATTTTCCTCGCCGTTTTTTTGACTTTATGTTTCCTTCAAGAAGGAAACAGTACCCAGGAATGGCTTAAAGAAGACTTTCCGAACCCTACAAAAGATCTTGGATCTTGTGGTCGTCGAGGAGAAGTGTCTTGGATCTGTGATCCAGACAAGGTTCTCAACTACGAGACCGCCAACAAGGTCGAGGAGCTGCTGTATTCCGTCGGAAAAAATACTGCTTCAGGGTGCAGTAGCGATAAAAAACCTGGATTTCAAATCGGTGTTGCTGTTTTAAAAAAAATGCGCAGGATTCCAGGGGAATCCGTGGAAGAAACAGCGGAGAAATTCACCAAACACTTACATGACAGCTGGGGGGTAGGCCATGCAGGCTGTGATGACGGCGCAATGTTGTTGCTTTCCATTCTTGACCGCCAGGTGTACGTATCTACAGGAAAAAAGGCCATGGAATTGTTGTCAGATGATCAGATCGACATCATTATTGAGGAAATGAAGGTATACCTGCGAGGTAAAGATTATGACAAGTCAGTGGAGCTTGCTGTTGTGCGGATGGGCGAAGTGTTCAGCGGAAAAGTTCTCGAGCGTCCGTTCGACTACGGTCTAATTATTTTCTGCGCATTTTTAATCGCGGTGGTGGGCGCTGGGCTGTATATTGGGCACCAACAAGAGCAGGAGCGTGAAAAGTGTACCAGGAAGCTGAAGAGAATCCAAGAGGAAAGAGATAGAGCCAATCAGTCTCAAAAGTCTTATGAGAGCAAGTCCTGCCCCATTTGCTTGGAAGAATTTCAACCAGAAACAAAAACCAGACTGTTGGCTTGTGGCCACAAGTACTGCGAACCTTGCTTGACAAAGTGGCTGGAGGACCATGCAACCTGCCCCATTTGCCGTCAGTCAGCAGACAGACGCGGAGATGAAGGTGGCGCCTGTCATACTTATGACTTCACGCCCGAGCTGCAGTTCCGACTGATGATGCTTCAGCTGCAGCACCCTTCATTCGTCACACAGACCATGGTGAACAGATGGGGAAGTAACAGCTACACAGGTAGCTTTGTTTCTGATCCCATTTTTGTCAGGTCCTCCATGGTCGGTGGTGGTAGTTTTGGCAGTGGCGGTGGATTTGGAGGTGGTAGCAGTGCTGGTGGTGGTGGCAGGGGTGGTAGCTGGTAGAAATCACTGCCTTCCTTGTTACAAGGCATCATGTAAATATTCTTGGAAAAGGATGGACATAATCATTACATATCCATAAAGAAAACACTAGTTGAGTTAAGGCAAATATAAAACTCAGAATTACTGTGTAAGACTTTACTAGCTAATCTTAACTATTGTCACTTTTGAGTGTCCAGGAGCACTGGATGTTGCTTTTAGAGGTAGAGTTTAGTATTTTTCTGCCTCCAGTTGAAACTCCAGATCTGAATGTGTGAAATGCAAGGCTTTCCTTTTTGAATAACAATGCAAATGTAGTATTTGAATTGAAATTCAGAAATTGAAGAAGTGGAGAAATGACCAAAATTGCTTGGGAAGTTAAATTATTGATAAATGATTGTTTGGTGGTGGAAATCAAAGTTGCCATTGATGTAGGTAGCTTGCCTATCACCCAGTAGACAGAAAATGAAATCCTCATGTCTTGCATCCAATTCAAAGGCATGTTTAGAAGAATTGGCCATTTGTAGACTAGAGGGCACTAAAAAGTAGTGTCTGCACCTTGTGCAAGCATGTTTACAAGTATTTTAAAATTAAATTATGTTGTGCATTGACTTAGGGCTAAAAATGAACTCCAGTGCTTAGTAGCAGGGCGCATGTCTGCACTTAATATTCTTACTGGCCCATCTGACAAATTAAGTGTCCGCAATTACCACACATAAAGAAAACCCCATTGACTTATTTGTCCTTTCGGAAAACTTTTGTTGAAGCAATACCATTTCAAATGCCACTTAGAAAACACTGGATAATCTTTTTCTGTTTTATTGAAGTGCTTGATGAAGTATGTAACTACATGTTGTAGTCCCTTGTCTTGTAATTAATGTTACATTAAAGCAGTGTTGAACTTTTGATTGTTAGAAATTCAGGGTGGTCACTGGCTGGTCATCAGATCTTTTCATGTCTGTAAATGAGATGGCATATCAGTAGTGTACTTGAGTCAGGCTTTTAGCCAGGATTTGAAAAGTGGCTGTCTAAAATGTGCTATAGGGCCTGCTCAAATGAACAATTAATAGGGAAACACATGAAAAATAAAATGATTTTCTTTAATAATTGGCCATCCACAGGATACCTGGACGGCCATCTGGCTAAAAGCCTGATTTGATTATAAGTTTAGTAATTAAGAGCAGTTTTGAAACTGAAGGAGTATATTTGACTTCAATGAATGCAGACACATCATGCGAATTTACACACTCTACACACATAGAGGTGTGGTTCTAGCCTCAGCACGTGGAGGGTAAAAATTAAGAGAGCGGTTGTAATTCCAGGGCCACATATACATCCTTGAGGGGTGGGTGGGGTGGGGTGGGGAACTCAAACAGTCGTACAAAATTTAACCAGTTAGCAAGGGAAAATCCCCAGATTAAAGTTTTGTGAATGAAGCTGAGTGGCCATGGGTGTCTCAGTGAGCAAAAACAGCTATAGAACAGATATTTCAGGGAACAAACTTGTTACGTGGAAATGTTTGTCAATTCTAAATACATTAGTTTATTAGACACCCTATAGATAACTGTGCAAAAGGTACAACTTGAACCTTGAACACTTCAAGATCAACTCAGCCTTCACCTTGAGTGAATCAAGATGTAGATTACCTCTTACGTCTTGCTGAAACTCTCTTGGAACTATTCAAATAAAAGCTATTGAGCAGTATTTCAATGGGGTTTTGTATCTGCTTTGATGTTGTTAAAACTGAAATTTGAGCACTTTAGCATTTGAAGTTGGTGCCTGAGAAATTTGTGCAGGGAAATTTGTTGAGAAGTAGAAGTTGAGACATCTCTGCCAGGGAAAAGGACCATAAATTTGCTTGCAACTGGGAGAACTTGTTTGAAAAATACTCATTTATAGTTTACTTCGTGAGCACGATGGTCCCAGGGTTTCCATCTGTTACGAACGAAATGGTCAGCGAAAATACTCTTCAAGGTCAGGGAAAAGTCGGAATTTTATTTTGAGCCAGGGGAAAATTTATATTTTGAAGTAAAGTCATAATTTAGTACCTTTACATTGCCATTGAAGGCTGAAAACATTTGAAGTCACTGTGATCCCTGCGAAGTTTTTCGTTAATGAAGAGGAAAACTGTTGAAAATTTATCACTGTTAATGAATGAATGAATGAATGAATGAATGGAGGAATGGAAAGGACGACTGTAATGGAAGGCTCGAAGCCGCTACTAGATCTGGCATTTTGTATTTATTTGGTCGTCAGGAAAATTTTATTTTTATCAGGGAAAAGTTAGGGAATTTTTAAAAATGATATCTGTCACGGCAACCACGCCAGGTGAAATCTGCCAAATTAACTCGTTATGTGATGCTGCACTCTCATTGGCTATCAAAAATAGAACATCAAATTTGTTCGCCAGCTTTGACAAAAACGACATTCTTCTAGATCAGAAAGACATTCTTCTAGATCAGAAAGTGTAAACCAAAGAAACTGGGCCAGTTGCTTTTTTCGTTGCGTCATTTTTCGCCCAACCCACACTGCCTGTGAGCTAGGCTCAAACAGTCAGATTTTGAACTCAAAGTTTAAGATAACTTTAACCACTAATAGATATCGGGGGCTCATAACTACTTTTGGCTTCCACAGACAACAACAAAACTATTACATACGTGACCGATCTGAAGAGGTTTTTTTAGAAAATGGCTTAAACGTGTTTGCATTGTTTTTTTTCTCAAACTCATTATTAAGCAAAGGAAATCATGAACGTGACGGTGTTTGGATATCTGACCTTAATTAGCATAGATTAGCATAGTGCGTTAAAAATATTCCGCTACGCGTCGTATTTTCAACTCTCTTCTCGGTGTTTGGAAGTGTGACCAAACACGGTTTTTCGTGTTTGATATATTACGTAATATTTTTTTTCTGTGTGTGCCTATGCTGACTATAGTCGTACTGACCGAGGCAGGCATTTTGTCTCCAAAACAAAACATGTTATCACTATGGAGATTCCATAAAGATCTATGATGTTACTGATGGGATGATGAGAAGTTGTGAAAACAACAGCTTATTCGACAATTTATAGTTTGGATTTAAAATATTAATGACGTCAGACTGAGCCGACCAATGCTTGACCGGTCGATTAAGCAGCATCGCAAAAACGTAGGATCAGGGACCCACTCCCTGAGGGTTTCTAGTGGGATAAAAAGAAATTAAAGTATGATTCGTAATTCAAGTAATTCAAATATGAATTATTTCATATATACTTCACATAAAAAGAAATTAGATTCGATGATGCCATCGTTAAAGATAGGACTGTCAAACTTTTAACGAGCTGTTTTCAAATGGACGAATAGAAATTTTTCGTTCAAACATGCACGATCATTTTCGAGATGAGTCATTGAGTGCAGGTGAAAAACCTCCAAGTTACTAATGGAAACACCTTGAGCGCAATTTCATGAATACAACTAAGCACGTAACACTTTGCAGTTGAAATAAAAAACTTGCTAGCACTTCTTGTTTCAGCTCGTTGGATTAATTCCAGTATGTGGTGGTTTGGTGTACAAGAATATTTCCTTCTTTAGAATGTTAATTAAATGATTGCCAGTCGATTCGTGCGCAGTTTTATGTACTGACGTTCGACAACTTGGCATAACAATAAGATTAACTCAACGTTGAATGGGGTTCTATCCGTTACGTGATCACGAAGAATTTGTCCATGACGTCTCGTCATATGTACCTCGATCTGACGATATAAAAGGAGCATTATGTACTTCTCGAACAGTAACTGACAAATTGTTAAAGAAAAACGGATCGACGCTCGGAACTGAAACAAAAGCGTTTTATAGGATGGTTTCCAAAGGTAAGATTATCGGATTTATAACTTTTTTTTTCTTAACTCTTAGTCAAAGAAAAATAAATAACTAATTTGAAAACGGGCTTGAGCCTACAGCCTTTTGCTAACCTGCAACCTGCACGCATCTAGGATAAAATAGCTGCATCGGCGAAACTAGAGCTGAAAACTGTCATCTTAAACTTGGCTTTTTTGTTCAGTGATGTGAGGCTAACTTAATCTCCAAAAGAGTCCACCGTAGCAAGCCGAGGATCAAACTTGTTCGATACTCTTTTTTGTGCAGCTGGCAATGTTTGAGTTCCAAATACTTTAGTAAATAAAAAAAAATATTAAGTCATGTCTAACTATAGACTGTAACAGAAGCATATCACCTAGGTGATATGCTTCTGACGGTAACTATAGTAAGTATAGACTATAGACTCTAACTATGGGCGCCTGACTGGATACGAGGCTGTGACGCAACCAATTTATCGCATATCACTCGGCCATTTTGTTAGGGTAATCAAGATGATATGATCATTAACTGTGCCATCTATTTGTTTCTAGGTTATATTAAGCTGAACGAAACCAGAGAGAAAGGAAAATGCCAGAAATCTGAAGATACAATTATAACAGATCTTTTGAGTGCCTTCCATGTATTTGACATACAAAAGAAAGGCTACATTGAGTCACGTGATTTGAGGGAAGCACTGAGTCTTATAGAGACCGATATCCCTTCCAAGGAGCTCCAGCAAATGTTTAAAGAGATTGGTCTACTTAGTGACAGAAAGATAACTTTTGCAGGTAATGCTCTTAGAGAAACTGTTGACTCATATCCAAGAATGATTCATGACTTAGACTTCACGAAAGCCCTTGGTGGGGGGCGGGGTAATCCCCTATGAAAAGGTTGGAGGTGTTCGTCGTCTCGCTTAGGGGTATAAATCAAGGATTCTGGTCTCACTCAGGGTGTTGATAACGAAACGGTACTATTTCTAGCTGTCAAAGTATCTTTTAGGGTGTACTCGAAGAAATAATAGTAAAAGAAACGCTCTTTAAATATTTCTATTTTTAGGCTCGATTTCCGCCGGTCTCTCGAGTGCGGTCTACTATATAGCAAAGAATTGGGGGCTTTCCTGAAAAGCAGCTGCTAATAGAACCGTATTTTATTTTAAGTGGTATCTTGTAGGGGTCAAATAAAGTTCGAGCCACGCTCAGATTGGCCACCTTTACGGGTTTAAATTAAATTTTCTGACGAGCATCCCCGACCATTTCCGGGACATGATCCCTCCCGGGGCACCGTCAGGAAAGTATCAATTTCCCTCTTCCCATGCAAGTCGTGTAATTACGGGCAGAATCAATAGCAGTATTGAACAAAGCCCCTCATTTGATTCCTGCGGGTGTACCTTTGGTCCGGAAAAGAAACGCAAGCACACGAGAGGGACTCCGTGGAACTTGAATGTTACAATATGGAATATGTTGTTATTATTTTTTTTTTTGCTTTCTCTCTTGATTTCAGAATTTTGCTCCCTCGTGACTGACCGAAGCGATGTGTTTTGACGAGGAAAGAGTGACGTATGGAGCGGATTTCAAGGAAAGCGTGTGCATGCTGCAAAAGACCAAAAGTGACGTCATTGCGTCTTGTTGACGTGTATAAACGAAGATCTCCTGAAAATGACAGTCATCGTAACTTAATCAAACGAAAATTTAGCGTGTCTCGTAGAACATTTTTTAAAGATGTATGAAATAGCTGTTACTAGAGAGGTAATGTCTAAGTTTTGTCTATATTTTTTGTAAGCGTTTTTTCAAAATAAATTTACGCCCATTGTATTTTTACGGTCCATGTTCACTTGCTGTGGTCTTCGCCAAGGACCTGGAAACTGAGGATGAAAATCGAAAATTTAAACACCACAAAAAAAACTTATCACAAAGTCAGTCAGTGACGTGTACACACCATGAGTAGAGTAGAAAGGCATTTAGACTTGCCTGGCACAAGTCGAGCTGCGAAAGCCGAGCTGCGGCGGAAGCTAAGGCGAAATGTCTCCAACGCTTAAAAAACTCGAGTGCGAAGAGCGCCACAGCCGCAGTACAAGCGTGAAGGACTTTGAGAAAGTCCGTATTCAGCTTGGTTGAGTTGCTGGATGTTGATGTCAAACGTAACCAAGTAATCGACTGCATTGCTTTCATTCCCGATCCTGATGGGGTCTTATCCAGGTCGGGTTAGCAGGACCACTTCGAACTTTAATTTTCTTCGACGGCCCAATTAACGCTCGATACGGTTACATTTCAGACACGTGTCGATCGGTTCGTTTTAAGGTAAATAGTTGTGTAGTACTTCCGACA